AGACACACACACACACGCATACACATACAAACACACGCACACAAACGCACATATACATACACACGCACACACACACACACACACTTGGCATAGCTTTCCTTAGAGATGCTGACCCGAGCACAAAAACGAGGACAAGGTGAAGGCGCCTCAAACCCCTCCTTTGCCTGAAGACAAATCGGACTCAAATTTTCTTTTTGCGGTCATGTACACATTTAGTGGTGCGACACGTTCATGTGCTTTTTTATGTGCATGTTGCGAAGTTACACACAGATATGCACATGCACATGCATATGCACACGCACACACGCACACACACACACACACACACACATGCATGTACAATATGTTGGTTTTGTGTGCACTATTTATACATATAAATCCATACATACGTACATATATATGTCTATATATATACATACATACGTATTATATATATATATATATATATATATATATATATGTATGTATACACATACATATCTATATATACATATATATACACACGCAGAGAGAGAGAGAGAGAGAGAGAGAGGGAAGGAAGGAGAGAGAGAGACATTGAGAGTGAGAGAAATAGAGAGAATATATGTATATATATATATATATATATATATATATATATATATATATAATGTATTTATACATACATACATAAATATATATATATATATGTGTGTGTGTGTGTGTGTGTATGTGTGTGTGTGGGTGTGTGTGTGTATGTACATGTATATATATACATATGTATGAATATATGTATGTATGTATAAATATATATATATATATATATATATATATGTATGTATGTATGTGTGTGTGTGTGTGTGCATACATATGTGTTGCATGTGTGTATATATGCATGTATATGCTTGTACACATATATGTATATATGCATCTATATATTTATATATATATATATATATATATATATATATATATATATATATATATGTATTTACACATACATACTTACATACATATACATATATGTATATATATATATATATATATATATATATATATATATATAGATATATATATGCATTATATATATATATATATATATATATATATATATATATATATTTATATATATATATATATATATATATATAGGTACATATATGTGTGTGTGTATGTGTGTGCTCGCGCGCATTTACAGATAAACGGTTAAACAGATATAGAGGCTGCCCCTTTAAAACTCAGTTCTAAATCAAAAAGAAAATATCAAAAGTGGACAACGCGAAGTAACAAGAAAAGAAGCCAAAAGTGTGCTGAACTCGCCACTTTCACCGACCCAGCAGCAATATAATGTAACCTTGATTAATGTCCATTTCTCTGTGGTTCTGCACGTTAAATCCGTGTTATGTAGAGAACAGTTACCTATGGTATGTTCTCCCGACGTTTTGGTAGTTTGGACCGCCGTTGAGTCATTGCTTGTGATCTACTGTCATAAGGATGTGTCATTTTTTCCTTGATTAATCACGAATAACAGAGTGGTATGGCCAATTACAACATTAACATTAATAACGATAATGATAATGATTACAACAATAGCAATATTAATAATAATAATAACGATAATAATAACAATAAAAATAATATAAATATTGATATCAATAACAGTTATGACAATAGCAATGATAATTAAAATAATAATTACAACGCATTCCATCCATTTATCGAAAATTATTTTTTGGCAACTTCACTGATATTCGTGTCAGATTCTTGCTCCTTTCCTGAGTTTATTGTGCTTATGATAGGAATTTCAATGTGCATTCTAGTGTTGCCGTGTTCCTATATATTGAATGCACAGACCTGAAATATTCTTAGAGTCAGTGAACCAGATACATAAAATCTCACTCATCAGCTCCACCGAGCGACCTTCGATCAAGAAATTATATCTATATTTAAAAATTTATAGACCTCTATCTTCACAATTTAGTATTACCACATCCTGAAAGTCTGGAACGAGTTTATGGAAGAGACCACAGCCAAGGTTGCAAAGAGAGAGAGAGAGAGAGAGAAAAAAGAATATCACGTAATTCTTTTCTAATTCATTTCTATATTCGTTTCCACTGTAACTTTGAAAACCATTCACTCTAACTGATTATGATGATCAGCTTCCTTCTCCGGAACGGCAAAAGGGTCACATGCCAGAGATATCCAGTTATGAGCGTTGTGCTGCGTCATCTCACCCTGACTGGTAACACGCTTTGCATCACATTACCCCACACGTGTAAAATGGAGCGCCCTAGGTCAGGATTTGTAACACATGATCCCGGGCACACGCACTCGCATACAGAAACGCACACACACACACACACAAAATAAATAGCTAGAAATATAGATAAACAGATGGCCAGATAGACTGAAAGACAGACAGGTATGCATATGTAAACACAGACACACACACACACTAACACACACACACACACATACACACACACAGACACACATATAGATAGACAGATAGATAGATAGGTAGATATATATATATATATATATATATATATATATATATATATATATATATATATATATATAGATGCATCTATATATACAAATAAACCCAAATATGCACAAAAGTACATGTATAGGCTATATTTGATAAAATGTTCGACAAAGAGATTACAAATATGTGTTTTTTTGTGTATCTATGTATACAGGTTTAAATGCAACATCTTTTTTCCTTATTTTGTCTCCTTGTAAAAATTAAAATGACCATAGGTCATCCTACAAAACAACCTCAACTTCAGCACAGACAATCATGAGAGCCATTAAGAAGAACAATAATCCGACACGTGCATAAACAAATAACACTAACTCTAAAAATATGTAACAGAGAACAGGCGCACAAATAGAGTACCAAAACATACATTTCATCAGAAGGCATAAACCTCACATATGACGACAATCATTACAACACATACTTCCAAACAACCATCCTAGCTAGTTCTTCTCCTCACCCCCCCTCCCCCCTTCTCTTCCCTACACCCATTTCCACCCGCCCTTAGCCCCCTCCTTCCCTAACGTTTAACCATTTCCTTTCTATCCGTCGGTGAAGGGGATGGTGGTCCCTTCCCCTCTACTCCCTTTCCCTAGCTCTTTTCCCTCCGCTCAAAGGCCCTACCTCCTCCCCTAGCCATTAACCTCTTCTTTCCCCAACCATTAACTTCTTTCCCTGCACCCCCACCTCCCCACCTCGCGCTTTCGCAGAACCCCTAACTCACTTCCCTCCTCTCTTTCCCCAAACCCCTTTCCCTTTCACAGATCCTCCTCCCGTCTTTCCCCAACCCCGGATTCTTTCCCTCCCGCAACCTCCCGTCTTTCCCCAACCCTGGACCCTTTCCCCTAACCCTTTCCCTCCCGCAACCTCCCGTCTTTCCCCAACCCTGGACCCTTTCCCCTAACCCTTTCCCTCCCACAACCTCCCGTCTTTCCCCAACCTCTTTCCCCTTTCCCCTAAACCACCTGCACGCCCATCTGCACACTCACAAGCGACCACCCAAACCTTCTATCCCCTCAGCCACCAACGCCCTTCAACTCTAGCCCCTAACCCCTCTCCCTCCCCCCGCAGGTCCCCCCACGCAGGCGACGGCTTCACGTGCATCACCTTCCAATCAGTGGACGCCGCCTTCATCGCCGCCAGGGACCGCCATGGCCTCCCACGCCCTGGACGCAAGCCCAACTCCAACGACCTGTCCAACCTGGCCACGGTGCTGCTCGAGGCCACACGGATCATAGCGCAGGAGTAAGTGGCTGCAAGTTTGTGGTTTGAAGGAGTTTCCTTTACTTTTCATCCTCTTTATTCTTTTTCTTTTCTTTTTTCCCCTCTCATTTCCTTCTCATCGTGTCCTTTTCCTCTTTTTTTTCTCACCAATCTTCTTTTTCTCTCTTCTTTTTTTTTTTACTTTTTTCTCATTTTCCTGTTTCTACTGATGCTACTAAAATATCCTAGTCATATTATGGACGACATTAAATATCGAGAACCTTTTTCATGAGGACGTGAATATTCACAGCGTATCTCTTAACTTTGTTGTGTGTGTGTGCGTGTGCGCGTGTGTATACATACAAAAATATACATATATGTGCGTATACACATATATGTGCGTATACACATATATGTGCGTATACACATATATGTGCGCGCGCGCACACACACACACACACAGATAAATAATGTAATTAATTAAAATAACCCTTGTCTTTTTCTCTATATATCTTAGAAAATATGAAAGTGATATTCTGTCTCATAACTTTTACCAAGTAATAATGATCCAAGCCATTTCCTAACCTAATTGTAGTTATCTAAGCGGATCACACTTATATAACTAATTTCCCTTGAAAAAAAATGTGACTTATCATGCACTGGCACCTCATGGAGGCTGGTTGACGTACTAATGACCTAGTTAATGTTTCCAAGGCATTCATCATGACATTATTTCCTAACCGTCTTTTTCCTCGTTCAGATAATGGGATTTAATATATTTCTTTTACTGCCCTCGATTAAATTACATGAATACGTTTAGTCATTTAACAGCGGGCAAGTTTTTCGTGTGCTGTAATTGGTTATTATTGGAAGTGATAGTGGTATTCTTAACTGCATTAAGAGTTCAGTCTTTGGCAGCGTGCTTTCTTTTTGTATACACAGTTATAACAAAGTTACATAAACTGTTATGGCCTCTAACATAATAGCAAAAAACGACTGATTTGGCAATAATAACATTGCCATAATTTCTATATTGCAAACATTATCAGCTACTCCCTGCCAATAATAGTTCTAGTCCTATCAAAGCAGAAATGTGGCAGCATAAACAACGAGACTATGCCCAAAAAAATCGTTTAATTATAGGTAAATAAACACGAAAAAAATGAAAACGTGGCGCACTTTAAACCATGTTACTAACAAAACACCCTCAGAGATATGCATACCTTGACCCCAAGTGGGAATAAATTCATTTGTTCCTTTCACTGCATAAGTATTAAGAGTTGTCATCCTCGCGTTCGAAAGTGTACGTGCATCTTCAGAAAATGCAGTTATGGTAAGAATACAAGTGTAAAATCTAATAGTGGATGCAATTAGGAAAGATTTATAATATGTAGGCCTTTTAAATGTTCATTTAAATACTGGTGTTTTAGCGTAAATACCTAAAGAAATGTGGGTCATCCTTTGACTTTCCTCCTCCTCCCTTCTCTCTCCTTTCCCCTTCCCTTTCATCCCTTCTCGTCACCTCACCCCTTTTCTTTAGCCTTTTTCTACATATCCCTTTTCCCTTCTTCTCCCCCACTTCCTCCCTACCCCCTCCCCCCTACCTCCCAAAAGTCACTTTCAAACCGCCAGGAATCTGAATAATATTGCTGAAATTCCAGTCGTCTCTCTGCTTTACCTTTTTTCAGCTCTCTACATTTTTCCTCCATTCTTTCATTGGCAGCGAGTCCTAAAAACAGACAGAACATGCATTTCGTTTTAAAGTACATGCGTTTTAATAAGAGCTTGGGAGGGGGCACCTGGACCTGTAGCTGAGTCACTGTAACTAATGGGGGGGGGGAGGGGAAAGGGGAGGGGGAACTGTGCCTTTACATGAAGTTGTCCGCTAAGGCCTTGACCTTTATAGCATGACCTTTGACACTTGTTGAGGTAGGACGGGAGGTAGATTTAAATTTCAAATCTTGGACGAACTGATGGAGGTTAAACCAACGCCAAACAAGGTCTACATACACCCGATCTCTGTGAGCAAATATTCTACGCCTTCGCGACCATGAGTAGCAATAACTTTAGAATAATATCTTCAAAATGCATCACTCGTATGTTGAGTTACAGAACAGTGCGAATCAAACAAATAACCCGCCTTACATACGCTACGACATTGGCAACAACGAACAATGAATAAGAATAATTTTAAAACGATTGATAATCACTTACCGTTTGCTGGAGTTTTGTCTGTTTGTCGGCAAACTGTTGAGTAGCCTTCAGGTTGTGTAATCCCACACATTCGGCCATTCTGTTTTCACTCTCACACTGGGCTATGACCATCACTAAAAGCTTTACCTAGAATTTTCACTATTTTTACTATCCCGCCACAATGACTGAGCTACATCACTATTGGCTTTATCTAGAATTTTCGCGTTTTGCACTATCGCGCCACACTGACTGAGCTATAATTATCACTATAGGCTTTGTCTAGAATTTTTACCATTTTCACTATCGCGCCAAACTCATTCAGCTATAACCTTCACTAATGGCTTTATCCAGAATTTTCACTATTTTTACTATAACGCCACACTGATTGTACTATATCACTATAGGCTTTGTATAGAATTTTCACTATTTGCACTATCGCGCCACACTCACTATAAACATCACTATAGGCTTTATCCAGAATCTTCACTATTTTTACTATCGCGCCACACTGACTGAGCTATAATTATCACTATTGGCTTTGTCTAGAATTTTCACTATTTTCACTATCGCGCCACACTGAGTTATAAATATCACTGTAGGCTTTATCTAGAATTTTCACTATTTTCACTATCGCGCCACAGAGACTTACCCATAAATATCACTATAGGTTTTATCAAGAATTTTCACCTTATGCACTATCGCGCCACATTGAGCTATAAATATCACTATAAGTTTTATCTAGAATTTTCACTATTTTCACTATCGCGCCACACTGACTGAGCTATAATTATCACTATTGGCTTTATCTAGAATTTTCGCGTTTTGCACTATCGCGCCACACTGACTGAGCTATAATTATCACTATTGGCTTTATCTAGAATTTTCGCGTTTTGCACTATCGCGCCACACTCACTATAAACATCACTATAGGCTTTATCCAGAATTTTCACTATTTTCACTATCGCGCCACACTCACTATAAACATCACTATAGGCTTTATCCAGAATTTTCACTATTTGCACTATCGCGCCACACTGACTGAGCTATAATTATCACTATTGGCTTTGTCTAGAATTTTCACTATTTGCACTATCGCGCCACACTGACTGAGCTATAATTATCACTATTGGCTTTATCTAGAATTTTCGCGTTTTGCACTATCCCGCCACACTGATAGAGCTATGATTATCACTATTGGCTTTATCTAGAATTTTCACTATTTTCACTATCGCGCCACACTGACTGAACTATAATTATCACTATTGGCTTTGTCTAGAATTTTCACTATTTTCACTATCGCGCCACAGAGACTTACTTATAAATATCACTATAGGCTTTATCCAGAATTTTCACTATTTTTACTATCGCGCCACACTGACTGAGCTATAATTATCACTATTGGCTTTGTCTAGAATTTTCACTATTTGCACTATCGCGCCACACTGACTGAGCTATAATTATCACTATTGGCTTTGTCTAGAATTTTCACTATTTTCACTATCGCGCCACACTGACTGAGCTATAATTATCACTATTGGCTTTGTCTAGAATTTTCACTATTTGCACTATCGCGCCACACTGACTGAGCTATAATTATCACTATTGGCTTTGTCTAGAATTTTCACTATTTTCACTATCGCGCCACACTGACTGAGCTATAATTATCACTATTGGCTTTATCTAGAATTTTCGCGTTTTGCACTATCGCGCCACACTCACTATAAACATCACTATAGGCTTTATCCAGAATTTTCACTATTTTCACTATCGCGCCACACTGACTGAGCTATAATTATCACTATTGGCTTTATCTAGAATTTTCGCGTTTTGCACTATCGCGCCACACTCACTATAAACATCACTATAGGCTTTATCCAGAATTTTCACTATTTGCACTATCGCGCCACACTCACTATAAACATCACTATAGGCTTTATCCAGAATTTTCACTATTTGCACTATCGCGCCACACTCACTATAAACATCACTATAGGCTTTATCCAGAATTTTCACTATTTGCACTATCGCGCCACACTCACTATAAACATCACTATAGGCTTTATCCAGAATTTTCACTATTTGCACTATCGCGCCACACTGACTGAGCTATAATTATCACTATAGGCTTTGTATAGAATTTTCACTATTTGCACTATCGCGCCACACTCACTATAAACATCACTATAGGCTTTATCCAGAATTTTCACTTTTTGCACTATCCCGCCACACTCACTATAAACATCACTATAGGCTTTATCCAGAATTTTCACTATTTGCACTATCGCGCCACACTCACTATAAACATCACTATAGGCTTTATCCAGAATTTTCACTATTTGCACTATCGCGCCACACTCACTATAAACATCACTATAGGCTTTATCCAGAATTTTCACTATTTGCACTATCGCGCCACACTGACTGAGCTATAATTATCACTATTGGCTTTATCTAGAATTTTCACTATTTTTACTATCGCGCCACACTCACTATAAACATCACTATAGGCTTTATCCAGAATTTTCACTATTTTCACTATCGCGCCACACTGACTGAGCTATAATTATCACTATTGGCTTTATCTAGAATTTTCACTATTTTTACTATCGCGCCACACTCACTATAAACATCACTATAGGCTTTATCCAGAATTTTCACTATTTGCACTATCGCGCCACACTCACTATAAACATCACTATAGGCTTTATCCAGAATTTTCACTATTTGCACTATCGCGCCACACTGACTGAGCTATAATTATCACTATTGGCTTTGTCTAGAATTTTCACTATTTGCACTATCGCGCCACACTCACTATAAACGCACGGGTTCTAGGCCATATACGTGGATGCGAAGGGTAAATAGTCTCCATTACTTGACGTAAAACTGATCATTTATAACGGTATTTATTCTGAATTAAGTTAAAGAGTACGTTAGCACGAACTCATATCGACGTCTTCATATCTTAATCGTGTCGCGTCTGGTGTTGTGTGCGTGAGTAGACAGACCCAGATACAGAGGCAGTTAAACATGTAGAGAAAATATTCATCTCAGCCTCGCCTTATCCCTCCGCTAACCCTCGTCCGTGTCTCCGTCAGGTACAACCTCCCGAAGGATGTCCTTGTCAACGGCATCCCACTCATTGACAGCTTCAAGACCATCGTGGGATCCATTTGCCCGGACTTCATCAAGCCTTCAAGCTGTACTCCCAAACGGTAAGTTGTGAAGAGTTTTAAAAAGAAAGAAAGAAAATAGAACGATAGACATAATGTTGTGAAAACTACGAGAGGAGTGATACTGAAGTGTGACCCTGAATAACTGGGAAATTGAGTAAGAAATGCATTGTTGATATTAGATTCTTTTTCTCAGATGCTTTAATTTACAAAAAATATCTCTACAGAATCCCAGCTACTGTATGCCAATTCGTATCGTGAGAGTAAGATTTTTTTCCGTATAGGTCTACGGAAAAAACGATAATAAAAAAAAAACATAGATATATACGTCGACTAGAAAAAAATGAATAGATAGATAAAATATTTGTTTGTCTGACGTCATCGCTAGTGTGAAAGATACCTAGGAAACACTGAAAAACAAATTCACCCATGATTAGAAAGTACGAAGAAAGCAAAAATAAAATATCGTGCACTTAATTTTCCACAGTTACCGCGAGTATGACGGCCGCTGCAACAACTTGGAGAACCCTGCTTGGGGATCCAGCTTCTCCTCCTTCAAGCGCCGCCTTCCTCCCGACTACGCTGACGGTAAGGTTCTCTATATTTATCTTGTATTGTTTTTTTCTGCAATATAAAAGTGTTTCCCTTTCCCTGTTTGGTTTTCCTCGATTGTTCTTTCATGCTCATTTTTTTGTGCAACTTACAGATATGTGATTTCGTTTGTTATTTTTATTATTCCCCAATTCCATAAGTTTCAGTCTTGTTAGATATTCCTCTTACCAATTTACCACAAAACGGTTTTGCTCATCTAAACTTACAAACTAAAAACAAAATCCCTCACCTTTCATTTTTCCCTTTCCCCTCGCAGGCATCGACGCTCCTCGGGTCGGGGCCGGGGGGTACCCACTCCCCTCGCCGAGAATCGTCTCCGCCCACCTGCATCGCGACGAAGGCCTCCACGACCACGCGGTGACCATCATGCTCGTGGCCTGGGGACAGGCGATCGACCACGACCTCACGTTCACCGCGGAGACGAAGGGTCAGTGTCTGGGGAGTACGAGGAAGGGGGAGAAGGGTGGGAGGGGGGGGGATGGGGGGGAGAGGGTGGGAGGGGGGGGGGGGGGGGGGGGGGGGGGGGGGGGGGGGGGGGGGGGGGGGGGGGGGGGGGGGGGGGGGGGGGGGGGGGGGGGGGGGGGGGGGGGGGGGGGGGGGGGGGGGGGGGGGGGGGGGGGGGGGGGGGGGGGGGGGGGGGGGGGGGGGGGGGGGGGGGGGGGGGGGGGGGGGGGGGGGGGGGGGGGGGGGGGGGGGGGGGGGGGGGGGGGGGGGGGGGGGGGGGGGGGGGGGGGGGGGGGGGGGGGGGGGGGGGGGGGGGGGGGGGGGGGGGGGGGGGGGGGGGGGGGGGGGGGGGGGGGGGGGGGGGGGGGGGGGGGGGGGGGGGGGGGGGGGGGGGGGGGGGGGGGGGGGGGGGGGGGGGGGGGGGGGGGGGGGGGGGGGGGGGGGGGGGGGGGGGGGGGGGGGGGGGGGGGGGGGGGGGGGGGGGGGGGGGGGGGGGGGGGGGGGGGGGGGGGGGGGGGGGGGGGGGGGGGGGGGGGGGGGGGGGGGGGGGGGGGGGGGGGGGGGGGGGGGGGGGGGGGGGGGGGGGGGGGGGGGGGGGGGGGGGGGGGGGGGGGGGGGGGGGGGGGGGGGGGGGGGGGGGGGGGGGGGGGGGGGGGGGGGGGGGGGGGGGGGGGGGGGGGGGGGGGGGGGGGGGGGGGGGGGGGGGGGGGGGGGGGGGGGGGGGGGGGGGGGGGGGGGGGGGGGGGGGGGGGGGGGGGGGGGGGGGGGGGGGGGGGGGGGGGGGGGGGGGGGGGGGGGGGGGGGGGGGGGGGGGGGGGGGGGGGGGGGGGGGGGGGGGGGGGGGGGGGGGGGGGGGGGGGGGGGGGGGGGGGGGGGGGGGGGGGGGGGGGGGGGGGGGGGGGGGGGGGGGGGGGGGGGGGGGGGGGGGGGGGGGGGGGGGGGGGGGGGGGGGGGGGGGGGGGGGGGGGGGGGGGGGGGGGGGGGGGGGGGGGGGGGGGGGGGGGGGGGGGGGGGGGGGGGGGGGGGGGGGGGGGGGGGGGGGGGGGGGGGGGGGGGGGGGGGGGGGGGGGGGGGGGGGGGGGGGGGGGGGGGGGGGGGGGGGGGGGGGGGGGGGGGGGGGGGGGGGGGGGGGGGGGGGGGGGGGGGGGGGGGGGGCCGTTGTTCACGCCCTTATTCATCACCGGCGCCCACAGCTATCGCCCACTCCCACAATAGAAATCTCCTAAGTAAACAATATCATCCCTTTCACTCTACACGTCTCTTCTAATACCTTTACTCACCCTCCAGTACTCACCACCCAGCTACCACTCCGACAAAGCCACGATCCAAAATTCCACTCACTCCACACGCTCCTTACTCACTCCCTTATTCACCAGAGCAACACTCCCAACCGACACTCACACCTCTTAACAACGCACTTACTCATCGCCAACACTCACCCAATCGCCACCAAAGCAGCAAGCCAAAACGGACGTTCACTCACTCCACACGCCCCTCATCCTTGGCCTTACTCATCCCCCACTTCTCCCCCCCCCCAACAGGTCCGAGGTCGCAGATCAACCAAATCACATCCTACATCGACGCCAACTGGGTCTACGGCAGCAACGAGGACACAGCCAACCGCATCCGTCTCCATCGCGGAGGATTGATGAAGGTGAGGGAAAGTGGGGGGGAGGGGGATGGGGGAAAGGGGGGTGGGGATGGAGAGGAGTGGGAAAGGGAGGAATTGAGGGAGTGGAGAGGGGAAGTTAGGGGAGGACAAGGGAGAGGGAGAAAAGGGTGGTATGGGGAATGATTAGAGGAGGAGAAGAGGGACTGGGAAGGAAATGAGGAAGGAGGAGAGAAAGTAGGAGAACTGAGGGAGGATCAGACGAAGGGGGAAGGAGGTGGGAGGAAGATGAGGATGAATGGGGAAGGAGAATAGAAGAGAAAGGGAGAGGAAGGGTCGGAGAAAAATAAGGAGTATAGAATATGTGGGGAAACGGAGAAGGAATAGGTGTGAGAAAAGCAGGGAGGAAGGGAGGATAAAGAAGTGAAGGAAGAGACGGTGGGAGAGGAAAATAGGGAGAAGGAGGACAGGAAAATGGGAAGAAACAATCAAAGAAAAAGGAGGATAGATAGACAAGGGAAGAAGGAGGGAAGGAGGGGAAATAGGTTAATGGGGAAGATAGCAAAGTATGATAGATAGGAAAGAGAAAGAGAATAGCAAGACTGAGTGAGGGTGAAAGACTTAGGAAAAGGGTGAGAGAAGAAAGAGAAATAGAGAATGAACATAGGAATAAAAGGGAAAGAGAACAAAAAGGGGAAAAAAATAAATTAAGCACTCTATCTAAAATTGCACTTACACATCAACGAAGAGTAATTGAAACCAACAACAGCAAAAACAACAACAACAACAGCAATCTCTCACTCTCGCCCTTCGTTGCCAGTCCCTGCCGGTGTTCCGCGAGTACGGCATGAAGGACCTGCTGCCCCTGAAGCTGGAGGAACCCGAAGAAGGCTGCATCAGGCCCAATAACGACGTGTACTGCTTCGACGCCGGAGACAACAGGGTGAACGAGCAGCTGGTGAGATGCGGATTTTAGTTGTCTGTTATTTTGGTTGTCTGTTGTTGTAAAAGGAAGTGGGATAAAGGAAGAAATAAATGAGAAGAGGAATGTAATGAGATGAGAAAATAATGATGATAAAATGAATGGGATATAGTGTGTGGTTTGTGTTTATGTGGGTGTGTAATGGGAATGTTTCCATATAAATTCACATTTATGTAGAATTACATGAGTATAGACACATGAATACATACATACACGCACGTGCACAAACACACACACACTCACACAAACACGTAACCACAACCTCCACACCCACACCCACACCCACCCACCGACCCCTCCACTAACCACTCTTACCCCCTTCCCCCCTCCCCCCTTCCAGGTTCTGGCCGTCGTGCACACCATGATGATGCGCGAACACAACCGCATCGCCATCGAGCTCTACCGCTACAACCCCCACTGGGACGACGAGACGCTTTTCCAGGTCAGTGGTGGCGGCGGGACAGAGGGGCGTGGAAGTCGAGCTTTTTTTTTGTTTTTTGGTGGTTTGTTTGTTTGTTTGATTTTTTAGTTGTTTGTTTCTTTGTTTGTTCGATTCTTGTTTTTTTCTTGTCTAGATTTCTTTTTTTTCTTTTTTTCTTTTTTTAAATATTTTTGTTTCGCTGTCTTCCTCTTTTCGTCTTTAATTTTCGCTTTTGTTGCTTATTTGATGTTTTCTCTTTCTCTTTTCTTCTTTTCTGCTTTTTTTTCCCTTCTGTTTGTGTCATATCATCAACTGGCGCTGTCACGTTTAAAATTGTTATTGTTTTTTACCTTCTTTTATTGTCATATAACTTGGCATTTTACGTCAAGAACACTGAAAATAAATGCGAAATATAAATCAAAATGAAAGTAGAACAACGGTATTGGTATTATATTATATTGCATTATATCATATCATATTATATCATATTATATCATATAGTTATGTAAGACGCTCCTTATATACGGTAATACATTCATGAGCTCTTGGGTGCCAGGCGTCACTTTACGTCACTAGCAAGGGCGGGTTAGGGAAGGAAGGAAGGAAGGAAGGAAGGAAGGAGAGAAGGCGGGAAGGAGGGAGGGATGCTATTCTCCTCATCCTTTCCCTCTCTCCTTTCTTCCTCCCTAACTTTCTCCTTCGTTCGCCTTCTCCTTCTTTCGTCTCCTCTTCTTCCTTGATCCTCGCTCTCTCCTTCTTGATTTTTTTCATTCTCTCCTGAACCGAGCACGCTTCCATGACGTGCATGAAAGTAAGAGCGCATGACAGAAGCCAAGCGTCTTGCGCAATTGCAGGAAGTCGGATTGCAATCTCGACTTCTGCACGTATTCTTTTTTTTTTTACTGATAAATTCACTCCCTTTCTCTGTCTCTTTTTTTTTTTACGTATTTTCGTTTTTGTTTTCTTTCTCTTTTTGTTTGTTTGTTGTTTTGCTTTGCTTTACTATTTTTGTTTTCAATGGCTCTTGTTATCATGATTGTTATTTTGATTTTCAGTAGCATTGCCATTGTTGTTGTTATCTTCATCTACATTATTTGCATTGTTGATATCAGGTTTGCTAAAATTACTATTATTATCCTCATTATTGTTAATATTCTCGTCATTATCATAAGTATTATAAGCACCGTTTCGTTTTTATCATGATTTTATAATGATCTTCATCGTCATTACCCTCACAATGCTTACCGCACTATCACCGCCACCGTGGTTAGAATCACCATCGCCATCTCCACCGCTATCATCACCTTTATCATCACTATTACCATCCCCGCTACCATTACTACCATCGCTCTCCCTCGCTACCCCCACCATCATCACCCCCATTACGATCGTCACCCCCACTACCACATTCTTCCCCCCTCCCCCTCCCACCATCACACCCACTACCACATCCCCCCCCCCAGCATCACCCCCACTACCACATTCCCCCCCCAGCATCACCCCCACTACCACATTCCCCCCACCCCCTCCCAGCATCACCCCTACTACCACATCCCCTCCCCTCCTCCCCCCACCCCCAACATCACCCACACTACCACATCCCCTCCCCTCCTCCCCCCACCCCCAACATCACCCACACTACCACATTCCCCCTTTCCCTCCCACCATCACCCCTACTACCACAGCCCCTCCCCTCCTCCCCCCACCCCCATCATTATCCCCCACTACCACACCCCCTCCCCCTCTTCCTCCCACTATCACCCACACTACCACATCCCCTCCCCTCCTCCCCCCACCCCCATCATCATCCCCACTATCACATCCCCTACCCCCCTCCCCCACCCCCAACATCACCCCCAC